AGACAGGCGCAAAGCAACATCACAGGGACAAGGAGTGGTTTTAAAAGAAGGGTGTGACAGACTTCAGGTCCTGCCAAGAGCTCACATGGGATGAGACTGAGTTGTGTTTTTTTTTTTTTGCCAGGCAGGTCATCGATGACTAAGCTGTGGGTTGGGCTGAAGAGTGACTAGGAAAGAGATGTGGGTCATAAACTCAGCAGGTGTTTAGAGAAACGTAATCATGGGAGGTGCAACTGGGCTTGGGGAGCTATGGGAGAGCTTATGCAGTTTTTGCTACTGGGAATCTTCATCCTATTTTAAAACTGGTAGGAAAAAATCAACTGAGAAGGGGGTTGACTGCATGAGAGGGACATGACAGGACAGGGGAGTCCCTCAGAAGGTAGGAGGTGAGTGGTATCCAGAAGGTGAGGGTTCACATGGGTAAATGAGTATAATGGTTACCAGGTGAGAGAATTCCACTGGCCTTTCCCCGCACCTGTAATGTGGGTGACAGTGTTGTCTCTTGAAAGGGAAGAAGGGGGTTTATCTGTGAATCGAGGTAGCTAGTCTACTCAGAAATTCCACAAATAGCTTTCAGTTTCTCTGTTTCTCAAAGAATAGCTGTATTGAGCTGTAACTCACATACCATACAAGTCACCATTGAAAGTGTACTGTTCAGTGGTTTAGTACATTCTCAGATAGGTGTACCTATAACCACAATTTTAGAAGATCTTCATCATGTTAAAGAAACCGGGACCCATTAGCTAGCACCCTTTCCTATCATCTTTTGCTCTCAGGAGAGTATAGAGCATGGCCTGAATTCAGGTTTAAAATTGTACAATGATTTAAAAGAAAAGTATATATAAACTGAGGCATATGAAAGGTTGCTGAGTGTCTCAGAATTTTAATCCAGCCAGAGACAGAAAGGGGGCTGAGAGGCACCACCTAAGGTTACTGGTATAAAATCAATAGCTGATACACTTGGAAAACCTAACAAATGTCAAAGAGAATTATCTAAAAAGTAGAGATTAGTAAAATGAAATTGAAGAAGCAGAGCTTGTAATTATATAGATTATAGGAGAAAACTTATAAATTATTTTTATCTCCTGGCCCAGAAAAAGTACATCCTGGGATACTTAAAATTTGCATATGGGTTGACGACCTCGTGTTCGAAATGTAGGCACTATATTGGAGTGAGAACAGGCTGGAAAGGGCAAAGTTCCTGTTAAATTAAGTTTCATCAAGTGATTTTTAGGAGGAGGATTTATGAACATTTAGTAGTCAATAGAAATCAGCATAACTTAGTAAAAAGATCATACCAAATTAACTTCATTTCATTTTCTGATAGAAAATATGGAGGAAATAGTGTATTTTTTATATCAAAATGTTTAGCAAAACCACTTTTTGAATGTGATGTGAAAACAGGTGTGTGTGTGTAAGTGCCCGAGCAGCCGTGCGGGCTCTTTAGTAGAGCATTGCTGGAAAGAGCAGGTGACTCAAGAGGCGTAATGATGCCTCATCATAGTTATTTCCTGTTAAGCATTTGGTCATTGTCTGAGGCCATGGGAGGCATACCTGTCAGATTTTCAAGCAGTGCTTGTGAAAGACAATAAATTTTAGTTCATGCTAAACTCTCTGAGCATCAATTATAATAGCAGAATTTCTTTGCAGTGCCTTTGCATGGCATCAGCATCTGTGATGGGCAAGTCAAAGTCCGGGGTCTTCTGCATCATTCCGTTCTGGATAGGCTTGAGACTTTCTTCCTACCTTTCTTAGGAGGAGGTGTCTGGAGGAGGCAATGTGCACAGAGTGTGGGTCTGCTAGACTTAAGCAGCCTGTTCACCTACCATTATGGTTACCTACAGTTCTGCATTCCTATACAAAGGTCAGAACTGTCCAGTCACAGTCATATGAGCCAAACCTTACAAGGTGCCTTTCATATCAATCAAGAGCAGAGAGCCTGATCACCCTGGAAGGGTGTGCATCACGAGGTATGACTGGGAATGCCCAGGGAGCTGAGGACGGATGCATAAACTTACTCCCGACTCACACATCATGAGGTATGACCCGGGGGTACGCCCGGGGGGCCGAGGACCAATGTACGACAAGGGACCCCAGAAGCTGACCAGTGGAACGCCTTGTTGATAAGATTAGGACCATAGCCAAGGGTGTGGGGTCCAGTTTCGATGACAACACTTGGTCATCAAGCTGATAACATGGTCAGCAGACTCATTGTCCCCCAAGCCCTAGATGACATTCCTGAGTGTCACCATCCTTTCTCCTTGTCCTCCTAACACACGTAGCTGATGCTCTATGATTGTTCTATCAATAAAAACAGCCAGGATCTTGCCCTCCGCCTCATCCTGCCTTGTGCAGCCTGCTTCACGACACCCATGTCTTCGTCATTGCGGTGTTGCACGACACAACAAGAGAGGAAGGTTAGGATACTGCCCAATCTGCAGTGTGGGCCCAGGACTGGCAGGCAACTTAGTGAAGCACTGATTGTCTTACAGATTCTCTAATAACTGTCTGATTCTGAGATCTGCTAATGCTGAATTACCCGATGCTGGAAATACTTAAGATGAAGCAGTGTAGTCATTTGGTCCGATAAGAAGGTTGCAGAAGAAAGGACCACAGACTAGATGGTTCCTTAGGTAAAATTAAATACGGATGTTCTTTGAGTCTACGGTGAAGTGTATTTCTGATCTTAACTGCTTTTGTTATAAAGCTTTTTATATACATACATATATATCTTCACATAGCTTTAATATTCTGTTGATACTTGAGTCTCCTTTTCAGTGTTTTAGCTATAACTGTGTGGGGTTTTTTTTTTTCCCCAACCCTCTAAATGCTAGCTTTAGGACCTACAGTATGTAACTTGAACTCACGGCAGTCTCCTCGGGAAATTTTATGCTGCTTCACATATGAGAACCTAATGACGTTAGACTCCATACACCCCTTTGGGCTGTTATTGCTGTGTTTTTATTCTGAATATGTCATAGCCTCAGAATACAGTTATTTTCAACAGCCTATTGTTTTTAGACATTAAAAAAAAAATGTTAAAAAAACACTATTTACCCACACTACTAGCTAGCTCTAGTGCTCTTCATTCCTCTGTATACGGATTTTCATCTTGAATCATTTTCCTTCTGTCCATAGGACTTCCTGAACCACTTTCCTGTAGTGCAGGATGCAATCGTCTAGATTTTCTGTGTCTCGAAAATTTTATTTCACCTTAATTTTTGAATATTTTTTTGCTTAGTGCGGAATTCTAAGATATCCTTTTTCCCCTAGAACTTTCATAATGTTCCTCTGCTATCTTGATTTGCCTCATTTCTGTCAAGAAAACTGTTATTTTTTGATTCTTTGTAATTTTTTTTTCTCCTTAGATTGCTTTTTAGAATTTTCTCTTCACTAAATTTAAGCAATTGGATTATTCCGTGCCTTGGTGTATTTTTCTTCCTGTCACTTATGTTTAGGATTTTTAAAAAATTCTTGTTTCCATGGGATTATAGATTTCATCGTGTTTGGGAATTTTTCTGTCATGTCTTAAAATATTTTCTCTTGCCCCCCCCCCCACTGCCTCCCCTTTGAGGACTGTGGTTACTCGTAGTGGACTGTTGGCCTGTAACTCAACGGTGTGGCCTCCCTGTCACCCCTCCCACTGCCCCACCTTGGTCCATCAAGGAATTTTTATTGCTGTCTTCCTGCTTACTAGTTTCTGCTGCAGTATCTCGTTGCTCTCAATCCCATCCGGTGTAATTTTTGTCTTAGATACTGTAGTTTTGATTTCTAAGTGATTGATTTGAGTCTTTTGAAAATGTCTTTTGCATCGCTACTAACATGCTTATTTTTCCCCTAAATACGTTAAATACAATTATAGTAACTTTCCATGTTCCTAAGTATTATTTATGCCAGCTGTGTGATTTGCAGGGCTGTTTCTGTGAATGGTTTTTCTCATTATTGGTGTGTTTTCCAACATACCAATGTGTCTTGATCCTCTCTACACTTGCTTTCAATTTTGTGTGGGGGACCAGAGCAGAGTTTTATCTAGGTCTAATTTTGTCTAGTAACTGAGGCAAAGCCCTTGGAGTGCGCTGCCCTGTGACCTGCTCCTGAGCCTTCTGAGCACTCCCTGTTCTGTTCCCTGGCCTTGGGTGGCGCCTTGCGTGCATGAGCTTATCAGCACTCAGCTGAGGAAGTGAGTCCCTGCAGACCTCTAGTGCCCACTTCTCTCTGGTGCCCTGCCCTGTGGATTCTAGTCTCCTTGGCCTCTGCAGGTCCCAAGTTCTGTCTCATCATCACAGAAACCACCTGTGCACCTGGTTCTCTCCTCCCGTGATGTCACCTGGGCATGCTTCCTTGGCAACAAGCCAGGGCAGTTGTGCGTGTCACGGCAGTCCTTTTCCTTCTCTCACATCACTGCCCTGTGCTGTTTAAAATTCATTGTTTGATGTTTTCTCCTGTTCTTTTAGTCTCTTTCATGTGGAATGGTAAATTGAGCCCTGTTCCTTCATCTTGGCCAGAAGTGACTTTTTGTTTATTGCTAACATTTTAGCTTGCATTCATTTCCTGCTGTCACTCCCTTACCGCTCTGTGCCTTTTCTCTGACAGACCCTGTGCATCTCCCTCCCTCTCACCTGTCCATTCCTATCCCCTAAGTCTTCTTTCCCCCAGTGCTGGAGTCAGCATCTCTCTGCCCTCAGAGTCAGTGCAGGTGCCTCTTCTGGGATGTCTCCCTTCCCTTTCAGGAGGCATTGAACCTTCTCTCCCTGTTCTCTTTCTTCCCTGCATATTATTTTCAGTGTTCCAGTGGACAGTTTCCCCATTGAACATGCATGTTGGTTCCCACATATGCACACGTGTTAATGTTAAGCTCCTGAGGGCGGGAATGGGGTTTGCCCACCTTTGCATCTTGTATGTGAGTCGGTGGGTATGAAATATAAAGATAAGGTATTTAACAAATGTGGGTATGTTTATATGTGTGTTAAACTTGTTTTTCTTCTCTCCCCCAAAATCAGGCTACAGAAGAAGTCTCCAAAAATCTGGTTGCCATGAAGGAAATTCTGTATGGCACAAATGAAAAAGAGCCACAGACAGAGGCGGTCGCACAGCTTGCTCAAGAACTGTATAATAGTGGGCTCCTTAGCACGCTGGTCGCTGATTTACAGCTCATCGACTTTGAGGTAAAAAATCAGCTTCTTACTTTTCAAAAACTGGACCCTCTTCGTGGTCTCTTTCCATGTGTTCTCTCCTTTGAAGCATGTTAAGACTCCTGCTGGCTCCTGGCTCAGGTTACTGACCTTAGCCAGCCCGTCTGCCTGTGCCATCGGCGGAGACAGGGTGGGAACTGGGGGGGGGGGAGGGGTTCAGGCTTAGGTGTTTCCTCACTTACATGAAGCTGCTTAATTTTAATAAACAGCTGCTGGTTTTGGGTTTTTTTTAATCTTTTCTTTTTAAAGATTTATTTATTTATACAAGAACTGGGGTACAGGTCAGAGGCACAGGAGGGTGAGAGGGTTCACCAGAGAGAGCGGGGAGCAGAACAGGCAGACAGACCAAAGACACTGCTGAGGGGAGCAGCAGGCGAGGCAGGAGAGGTCTGCCACACCACGTGGGTTTCTCCCTGGCCGGCAGGGATCGAACTCATGCTGCAGAGGCTGCAGACAGCTTCACAGCGCAGCCACCGGAGAGGCCCAGCAGCTGCTATTTTTCACATAGGTCGCTGGTCCTTGGCTTTTAAGGCATAAACAATCTAGAGAAGACCATACAGGGTTAGATTTTAGCAGTATATGAGCTCTTAGAGAACATGCACTTATGTCTTTTTTCTTTTTTTTCTTTCAAACCTATTAAGAGCTCACTGCAGCAGAGATCATTTGTGTTCTGTTTGCTTGGCACTGCTTTTGAATTTTTAAATTAGGATAACATTTAAGTAGCAGGAGATTTCATACACAGTTTTGACATCTTGGAAAATCTGACTCTGGCCATGTAGGCTGGTAGCCTCAGCTAGAGCAGAGCAGCCACTCTCAGCTGCAAGGTGCTCATACTTGACCGTGCTGCAGACGGTGCCATTTGCTCTTCTGTCTCAGGGTTTGCTTTGCCCATCTGCATCTCCCACCCAGCCCTGTAGGCATTAGAGATTGTTGCCAAGCTTATACGGACAAATTTTTCAGTCTTGATATTTAGTGGATTCATCAGTGAGAATAATGGACCATGAGCCAGTCTGACCAGACTTGTCTGAGAAGCCTGTGTGTGGGTGAAGGGCTCTTCCCTGGCTGAGGGCCGTCTCTTCTCTGTGTGCTTGGATGTCTGTGCAGGTACTTGAAAACCTGGGGGAGAAAATGATGGACATAAAGCCAGCTTCAATTTTGGAGAAGGATGGGATGATACAGCTCACAGATTACTTGAATATAATACTGTTATTCTCTTTCCAATCTGTAGAGCAGATTAGAACTACGATATTTCCCTTTATTATAGCTGGCTTCACGAATATTTGGTAGTGTATCAAATTCCAACAACAGTTTTTATTTCCTCTGCAAAGTTGGTGATGCATGGGAACATCCAGTTCCTTTTTCCACCTATCCCACTCTCAACCCGGACACTAAATTTAATATTTGGGACTTCAAAGACACAGCATTTAAAAGAAGGGCGTGCCCTGGAGACTGGTTATCACAGACTGTTACTGCTCCTGGCCTAGTGTGGGCCCCGAGGGTCTCCGCCCCAGCAAGTTAGCAACTCCCTTCCTCATCTCCAGGCTTGGCAGCCTTGAAACAAGTGACCGTACTGAAATATCTCTTGGAGTCCACTTCTCCATTTTTTTTTTTTTTTTTTGTGTGTTTGTAGTTTTCTGATTATTAAGTCTTCAGCAATGTCCATCTGCTTTGCTGAGTAAAGTACAGGGGTAGAGAAGTTCTCGTCCAAGCTCCTGCTTTATGTGAAACTTGAGCCTTCATTATTAATCTGTGTGAAGTCTTCCCAAGGTAGACCTCGCTTAATGGGGGGATGTGTTTACTTGCCGTTCAAGTTCAGCTTCTTACACAATTCCTTCTTTTTTATTGTACTGGCAGAGTACAGTTTCTCCTCCCACCACTGTAAAGGAAAATATATGTATTGTTTATAACAGGAGCATCCTATTTGAAGCTGCTTCTTTCTTGGGGGCGGGGAGATCAGATTCCTGAACACTGCAAGCCTAGAGCAAGGTTTCATTCTTTGCATGTGTGAGTCAGCATGATTTTGAGAGTCAGACATGGTTAAAATTAATGTAGTATGATTTCACTTTGTTCATGTTAAAGATAGTATCACATTAAAGCAACGAGATTTGGAATTACAGATGATAAAGTAATTGTAGATGAACTAAAGGAAGAATGTCTGAACATTTTTAAGTCAACTATTTAGTTATAAATATCAGATGCCTTGATTTAAGTTTATTTGGGAGGGTGGGTGGACATTTTTATATAATAATTCAGGTAAATGTATTAATAATGTATTTCTAATAGGGCAAGAAAGACGTGGCTCAAATTTTCAACAATATTCTCAGAAGACAAATTGGTACAAGAACTCCTACTGTGGAATACATCTGCACCCAACAGAATATTTTGTTCATGTTATTGAAAGGGTACGTATAATGTGATAACATTCACCTGCTAAGTTGAAAACAAGGGAAGATGGTCTGGGGCAAGACCACAATGGTAAATGCAGCAGTCGGGTCAGCTTAGTTTCCACAGGCCTTGAGCACTCCTCCTGCGTGAAGCCAGCCTGCGACCCAAACTGAGTTTGAAAATGCCCATGGATGTAAAGCTAGGTGGATTGGGAGCCTTTAAGTTAACAAATCACCTGTGGCACCCTCTGAAGAAACAACACAGACATAGTACTAGAAAGAAAAAAATTACTTCAAGTACTTCATCTGTGGTCTCATTTCTCTTCTCTAAGAATTTAATTACTGGTTGTCCCCTCAAAGACACCTTCTCTGGACATAGATGCAGTGTGAGGCAGCACGTGCTGCCTAGCAAAAGGAGCCGGATGCTGCGTTGCCGAACTCGGCCCAGTAAAGAAAGTGTATGTTTGCAAGGTAGAAACCTTTACTTTTTGCCTGCGTGTCCACTCACTTAACCCTCTGAATTTGGATATGCTCAGTGCATCCTCCTGGAATTACTGTTGAACTAAGCAGGCATTTATGTGTGACAAACAAAACCAACAAAATGCTAAAAATAAAACTTTGAAAATAAAGTCCTTCTCTCTTGTCACTGAGCCTCCCTGGTTGGCAAAGCACCTCCCATTGTCTGAGCCCAGAGCTGTGTGCCAGCTCTGGCTCCGGGTGCGTCTGTCTGTCCCCGCATTGCTAGTGTTCCCTTCAATCGGCAGGCAGGCGTTTTACTGGCATGACTGTGGGTGTGAATCAGCTTGCTCTTCTGCCTTTATAGCTTGCCTCACTCTGATTCATATCTCTGTGGTTTAACACTTCCCTCAAGTTCAGACTTGTTTAGACAAAGCCTGAGTCAGTGCGTGTGCTGGATGCCAGCATTTTATTTCCTTCTTTCTATTACTATGTGTTGTTTCTTCAGATGTTGCCATACAGAACTTTGGCATCTGATTTTTGTTGTATCAACTTGGAGTTGCATGTGTAAACATGTAGTGAGTATGCTGAAATTTTGGTGTCTTAGAGCAGTTTCCAGATGCCCCTGTGTACTTTTAAAGCCACTATTTCCTTTTCTGTAGAAAGCAATGGTTATTAATCCTTAAGTTAGTTAAAACCTGATTAACATTTTCATTTAGCGGAGCCAAATGAGAAGAACCTCATTAAATTCTGTGTCAAGTAAGACTTGGAGATACAATTTAAGGAAAGTTTAAAATTGTCATCTGAGCTGACCAGAGAAGAATCTTCAGCTAGGGAGGAGAGGTGGAGAAGCAAGGAGAATATACAACATAGAACTGCAAGGAATAATGTAGCAGATTTTTTCCTACCCCTCACCCAGGCTCGGTACCAGCATCTGTCACCCTCGCCTTCTCTTGAGCCTCCTCACCTGTCGCACCACCGCAACGAACCGCTCTGGTGCTTGATACATAACACGATTTTGTTTTGTTTTTTAACATAATCACATTATGGCTTAGAAAGCTACCATTTCCTAATGCCTCGTCAGTGTTCATATTTCCTTGATTTTCATCACAAAACGGTTATTTTTCAGTTTACTTAACTGAATTTAGTCCCCAGACTGAATTTCGTTGATAAGACTCTTAGGTCTCTTCTAACTTATGATAATTCCTACCCTCTTTTTGCAGTGTGCCATTTGTTACCTGGGTCATTTATTCTGAAGAAGAACCACGTGTCTTGGATCTGCATCCCTGGGGTTTTATGCTCAGGGTTATGTAGACGCCGTTTGTTTCACTAGGTTATTGGGTCCAGAGAGTTGATTAGATTCTGATTCAGCAGAGCGAGAATTCTCCATGGATGGTGCTGGGTGCTTCCTGCTGGGCGGTCCTGGCTTCCCACTTCTGGTTCTGTTCAGATTAGTCAGTGGGTCCAGGTGTAAACTGTTTTTTTATCATAAAATAGTTTTTCATTGACCTTTTTCTTGGCCTTCTAATTTTAGTATCCATAGAGGATCAAAGCTTAGTCTCAAAATGGTGATTTACTGTTACTCCTTTTCTATGCGTTGGGTTTTTCCCCCATTATCAATGACTGAGTTAACCCAAATACATACAGTCTGTATTGGAGAGACAAGATAAACGCTTGATTGTTTTTCACTTTACCATTGTCTAGTATAATCAGCTGGTGCCCTCACCATACCTTTACATGAGCAATACGTTTGTCGTTGTTTTTGTTTTTTAACTTATTTATTGTTGTTGAAATACCATTGTTCCATATCCTTGCCAGGGTTTTGCCAGCCTAGGCTCTCCTCCTCATGCTGGCCACCATCCCCCTCCCACCACCAAGTACCTCTAGTCCTCCCCCAGAGCCCATTGCGCTCTCCCTTCAACCCCACATTCTCTTTCCTCTCCCCCACCCCAAGGCCACAATCTGCGGTCAGCTTTCAAGAGTTACTTTGAAGGTTTTACTTTGACCCTTTGTTTGGTTTTTCTATGTTCCATATATAAGTAACACCATCAGTATTTGTCTTTCTCTGACTTGTTACTTTTTTCAGCGTCATTATGAACTCAAGTCTTGGGGTTCCTTAAAATATATCTGATGTGTCTCAATTCATTGTAGTCTTTATATCCAAATTCTTATGTCTACACTGGCCACCTTGGGCATGGGGAGCTCATTCAGGTTGGCTCCTGTGTCCTTGCGGCAAGACCCTCACCTGTGTTGGGTGGCATCCTTGCTTTAAGACACACGAGGTCCCTTGCTCATTTTGTCCCGATTCCTGCCGCAGACTTGGAAACAACAATTTCTTCTAGGAGCCCTACCTTTTGTGAACTACCTACCTTCTAAGATTTTTGTACTTTTGTTGCTTAATTAGTTTAGCTTATTTTTACAAACACAATGTGTTTATCTGTTCAGGCCATAAGTGCTTGGATGTTAGACATTTGGGGGAGTTTTGCTGCCAATAATAGTATTCATCAGAAATAACATTGTTTCTAGACTCCATCTGGAGGCCATAGGTTTTTCACTGATGATTTAAATGTTAAGGTGCTCTCTGCTCTAGTGCTAACAGGTCAAACAGCATAACTGTTTGCCTTGTACTACAGCACTGATTTGTGGCTTAATCATTTAAGACAAGCTCAACAAGACAAACCACCACTAAAACCTGCCTAGCTTGTACCAAACCATCCTGCCCTGCCTTTCAAGCCTCCTGCTTATTAAAGATCAGTGAAGATGAATTATATGATCAGCTGTTTTGTGAGCAGACATTTTAATCACCAAAGAGCCAATCAGCATTCTAGCTGCCACATCAGAAGTGACACGGGAATGTAGTTCTAATGTTGACGAGGATCTGGGACGAGCTAGTGGGGTGACAGGGTAATGCTAGTAACAGTGATGGGGCAGGGTGTCGGGGACAGGATGTGGGTTCGGGTCAATAAGGCAGAGGTCGCGTCCATCCCCTGTTGCTAAAGGAGAGGGGACTTACGAATGAAATTCCAGGTGATGTGGAATGTGCACACACACGAGGAAAGAATAGTAGTTTCGTGGGAAGGCGTGAGCACTGATTGGCAGCAGCGAGGAGTATGGAGCTGGTCAGAACGGCTTCGGGCTTTGTCTTGTTCTTTCCCCACCACCACCCCTTATCCCTTGGGTCTTTCCTATCCATGTCCATCCCGCCCCCCCATTTCCCATCTGCCGCCCCCACAAAAGCCTCACTTCAGTTATTGGTGTTCATTGGTTTTTATAAGCATCTTGCTTTTTTTGTCAGTTTATCTGCTGTATAAATGTCTCGTGTTTGTCTTTGTCATCCTGACTTGCTTCACTGCACATAATTCCCTCAAACTCCTTTCATCTTGCTGTATAAGGCAGCGTTTTGTCTGTCTTTATGGCTGAGTGGTATTCCACTGTATGGGTAGACCTCATCCCGTCCTCTGCTGTTGGCACTCAGGTTGCGCCCATCCCCTGGCTGTTGTAGATAATGCTGCCATAAACCCTGCGGAGCCTGTGATTTTTTGACTTTATGGTTGTAGTCTTTGATCGATGCCAAAAGTGGAATGGCTGAGTCATATGGTATTCCATTTTTACTTTCTTAAGGTAAATCCAGGTGGCCTTCCATAATGGCCACACCCATTTACATTTCCACCAGCAACGTGACAGGCTTATTTCTCCGTGTCATCTCTAGCACTTCTTGTGGGGGCCTTTTTACTGTATACTGTTCTCTCAGGTATGAGACTTTTATGACAGAGTGGGAGATGCATTGTATTAATTAAAGTTTATCTGATGAGCACGAAGAGATCATCTTAAACTCCTAAGCCAGAGGGGCCGTTGATACTCTTGTGTACTGGGTAGATTGGTTGAGACTGAGCATGAACAAAGGTGCTGACTAGAGGCACCTGCGGTTCTCCAGGAGCAGAGTCACAGCGGTGGGGACGGTAAGCAGAGGAGACCAGGCCACCCCCACGAAGCATTACAAAGAACTGATGACACTGAAGAAGGGAAGTCGGGACTAGATGAAGAGAGGGAAGGTTGAGGTCTGCTGTCGAACAGTACCTTCAAATGGCATGTTGTTATTTAAATTAGTTTAAATTAAATCACTTTTTAATTCAGCCCTTCAGTCCCATTCGCCAACATTCAGGTGCTCAGTAACCACACGTGCGAGTAGCCGCCGCCAAGGGCCGCCCAGACTTAGGCCCTTTCCCCGGGACAGGAGCTCCGTTAGACCCACTCAGGCCGAGGTCTCGGACAGCAGTGATGCTGGATTACAGAAACAAGGAAGATGAGGAGGGAGCTTTTTTGTGGAGGGAGATGAGATTTGATTTTTGACAGGTTGTGTGTATGGTAGCTTCTGGCCAAGTTTACTCAGAGGCAGCAGAAAGTGCCTAACTCTCCTTCCCGAGTAGCCCTGGGCCCATCTGGAAGGCTGCTGGGCGTGTGTGGGCATCACCCGCGGCCAGAGGCCGGGAAGGAGAACTGGGAGAGTTGTTTGTTTTCTTTCTTTAAGGAGCGAGATACTGTGGGCACTTGCCTTTGCTGGTAGAATGTTGGGAAACTCTAGAGGAGAGTGGGAGTGGAGAAGGCGTTGAGCTGGAGCAGACAGCTTGAGAGGAAGTGGAGGACGAGAGCCTGTGCTGGAGCAGGAAGGTGGAGTACAGTCCCAGAAGCTGCGTGCATAGCAGGAGGGAGAAGCCTACACCACTGAGGTGTGGGGGGAGGCTGCTAGAGCCCCAGTGACCACTGAGAGAGGCTCCAGGTTCTTGTGAAATTCCTAAGACCTGGCTTTCAACTTTGTGGGGCTTGCGTGTTGCCAGGAGGCTGAAAGCACTGTTTGGGAAATTGAACGGAAGCAACACAGTATACATGTTCTGTGTGGAAGTCTGTGTTGATAACTGTGAATTTGGGAAGCCTTTTGCTTCCTGTTGTTTTTTGATTTCACTTTCAGTTTTTCTGAAGTCTTGACAGTGCCACAGGTAAAACGAATCCCTTTTGACCCTAACCATCCTTCCCAGCTATTAAATAATGCCTTGCATTTGCGTGATCACACCCAGGGCTGTTAGTCTTCTGTGGGTTGAAGCACATGCTCTTCTCTGAGCGACACCTCAGTCACCGCCTACAGTTGCTTGGGCCCATCTGAAACTTATTAAAATTTTGAAGAGCTTGGTGTTAGAATGTTGTTGTTTTTTGTTTTTTTTTTTTTTTTAATATTTTCAGCTGCTTAATTTCCTTTTTTTTTTTTTTAAAGATTTATTTATTATTTATTTATACAAGCACTGGGTATAGTCAGAAGCGCGGGAGGGTGAGAGGATTCACCAGAGCCAGAGCGGGGAGCAGAGCAGGCAGAAGGACTGAAGTACACTGCTGAGGGGAGCAGCGGGCGGCAGGAAGCCATGTGGGACCCTCCTCCGGTGGCCGGGGAGCAGCTGGGGATCGAACCGGCGCTGCAGAGGCTGCGGGCAGCTTCGCAACCCAGTGCTCAACCACTGTGCCAACGGGGAGGCCCCAGTGTTAGAGTTTTAAAAGAATAATCATGTATGTTTTTCTTTTTGCAGGTATGAATCTCCAGAAATAGCTCTAAATTGTGGGATAATGTTAAGAGAGTGCATCAGACATGAACCACTTGCAAAAATCATTTTGTGGTCAGAACAGTTTTATGACTTCTTCAGATATGTCGAAATGTCAACATTTGACATAGCTTCAGATGCATTTGCCACGTTCAAGGTAACAAACTAGACCTCTAAACATACCCACAGGTCAAATTAGGAGATGTGCGCTTCCTAGTCTCTGCCCTCTAAGTTTATGAACGACTGCCCTCTAGTGGGAAGAGAGGAGATGTGTTTTATAAGCGTGTTGGGGGGGTGGATCTAGATATTCGCAGTAGAGCCTTTTAAAAGTAGAGCTTTTAAAAGGATGAAAAATGCAAATTCTGAAGTCTGTCTAAAAGGTGGAGGTCCTATATGGTCCCAAGTGCACATTTTTGTTAAATTACCCATCAAGGCACAGTATCTACATGTACAGTATCTCTAAAACCAGGTTGTTCTCCTGTGTAGTAACTGCTGCAACAGTTTCTTTGGTTAAGCACCAGATGAAGTGGTTGGCTGCTTTTCAGGGCCATGGTCAATTTTATAATATACAATCTTTTAAATACTAGAACCACATGCAGGTCAGATTTCCACGTTGCAGACAGGCATGAAGAACAAGGGTCCTGCCTTTCCCGTCTCGTCACGCCAGAACTGGAGTATTACATGCGGGGCCTGGGGGGTCACCTGCACTATTCACATCATTACCCTCCCTCGCCACTTACCTTAAGTACACCTGTTGCGTTTTTCTATAAATTAAATACACGTGACACTGTAGAACTTGCACCTTTTTGAGTCGCAAGGTTCTCTGCTGCTGAAGTGTACACATGCAGCTGTCTGTCTCCTTTCCCGCAGGAGAGCAGCCTCTGCGCCGCCTCCCTCATGCAGTGTCGGGCCACATGAGTGAACATTTGGTCTTTCAGTGTAAACAGAGCTTTATAAACTAACCTGGAGATGTCCTTTCTCACAGTGAGAAGCAGCCACGTTTCTAGTGGGGGTTCAGCTTTATGGTTACAAGAATTCCTCACACTTCAGTCTCTGAGTAAAATATGTGTCTCAGAGCGAATGAACAGCCTTAAAATAGAATGAGACTGGCCTTTAGGGTTTTGTGTTGAGTGAGGAGGAGACAATACTGTGAGAGGTGCCCGTGGAGTTACTTTCCTGAAACCATTAGAGAAGGTATCAGAAGCCTCGGCTTAAGACCTCAGGTAGTTATTTGCCCGTTTACAAAAACCCAAGTGAAATAACTTGAGATTCTAGCCCAGACTGCTCAATCCGGGGTCTTAGGAAACAGCACACCTGGGGCTGGGGCTCGTGATCCCTTCGTGTGCAGTGAAGGGGCCTGGGTCCCATGCGGGAGAGCAGACCCATGAATAGGGGAGGGACAGCAGCACTGTGTGTCAGGAGAGAGCAAGCCGCAAGCTGGGCGCAGCCCTGGGAGCAGGGGGTGAGGGAGAAAAAGGGGGTGCAGCCAGAGCACCCAACGTGGATGCCATGCTCCTGGACATGTCTGATGGTCTTCGTTGCCCTTGCTGATCAGGCCATCTCGCTTAGCATGGCTTCTTGAAGTTAATTGTCACCAAGAGGAAAGGGTGGGGTTGGAATCTCTCTGGGTAAAGCGCCCTGTCAGGTCGTGGTAGGCAGAGAGGGAGAGGTTAGGCAGAGCCAACAGGGAGTCCCCCTAAAGAAGGGACACTCATAAACAGCACAGGACTCTGAAGGATCAGCTGTGAGAAAGCATCGAGAAGCCAACTCAGTTCTGTGTACGAGCTGCTCCTTGTCACACAGAAAGAGGAGAGCTAGTTACAGAGCCTCTGAACAGAGGGCTCCCCAAGAAACAAAATAAAGTGGAGCCGCAAACCAAGACCACATACACAACCCCAGTCAGAGCCAGAAGGACCGGCAGCTGTGCTGCCGGGAGCAGGGAGGGCTGCCCCTGCTCCCCCCACTCTCCTGGGGTCCTTTTTGCAGAGAGTATTCTTACAGTAGGGAGGAGGCTAGGTGTGTGGTTCGTGCTCTCCTTGGAGAGGCGGTTGCAACCAGAGCTACCTCCCCAGAAAATGCCCTCTGTACAGGAAGCTGAAGCCAGCACGACGCCCCCATAACCCTGGACAGGTCTGGGCACTACAAGGAGAGAAAGGCTGTCTGCTCTAGACATCCAAAGCAGGCACCGAGGTGGGCAAGCAGCTGGCCAAATGTCGGTTAGTTTTTGCTGTTTTGGTTTTGGTTTTAGGAATTAAGGCGATAGGGCAGGCGGGATCCAAAGGCCAACAAATTTATCTCCAATTTCCCAGAGTAAAAGAAGGTAGATTCTCCAGAAAGGCTGGTGGATCTTGGAGCTTGATATTATAGCTATGTAAGGTTGTAGAAAATATTTCCAAAGAGAGAGGTGATATCTGAGCATTTTAAAAAGGAAGCATATACCCACAGATTGAGAGTATTACCAGTTGTAGGTGCCAATGGATCGGGGACTGAGCACGTGCTACTGGAGCAGTGCCCAGTCTAGCGAGTCAGGTCGCAGCATCCCCCAGTGCGTGTAGTAGGCGGCAGCTGTTAGGCTTGTTCATGATGGCAGCGAGGAGCGGCCTTGTGTGGATAATCACACAGACCTGTTCTAATGGCCACAATGAAGAGATTGATGCCAGATGGGGTTTTGGTGCAGTGATTCACAACAGATACCACACCATCTCCATAAGGTGCTGGAACACAGATTGCCATCACCCTGAGAGCGTTCTAGCGGGTCTCCTTCTGGGCGCTGTCCCCGCTGGATCCAGTTAAATGGATGACTTAAGAAAAGAATGCTCAGGCCTACTTATCTGATGTGTCAGTGATAGCCACGAAGGGCAAGGCAGCAGACAGCAACAGGCTTTATAAAGATCCAGAGGCCAGAATGAAACCAAATGAAATAAAATGCAGATACCCAAGGTCTGCCCCTAGTGGCCCCGACTCTATAAATAGGGGCTGTGGGAATAAGGTATAACAGTAATAGTACTAATAGCTACTAAGTGTCAGTGACTCAGATAACCCTTTGACAGTAGTAGTATTACCTCCTTTATAAATAAGAGAACTAAAACCTAGAGATGTCAAGTGAAGTCAGACAGAAAATGGGGAAGCCAGAATTTGAACTACTCTGAGAAAACAAAATTCTGAACTCATCCAGTAAAAAACTAAACAGTATGACACCCCCAAGCCTTGTGGACATGTCCTGTGACCTCAGGAGCTGTGGATGGCCTGGCCTCACCGTGCGCTCGCCAGGTAGCGGTGTGTGCATGTGTTCCCTTCCGGGCGCTGCACTGTGAGAGGTGCGTAGACGTAGATGGTGAGGGACTCAGCCTGTCTTTCAAGAAGTGTTAGTTAAAGGAGCTGGACGTATTCATCAGGAACTCGAGAAGACTCAGTAGGGACTTGCCATGAATGCATTCCTTGCGTTCAAAGTGGGTCCTGTCGGATGTGGATTAAACCTATTTCTGTTGACTGCCAGTTTCTGGAAGTAATCTGGGCATAGGTTTTTACTTGAGCATAGGAAGAACTTTCTAACTCACTCTTGGGGCTCCAGCGGTGAGAGCCACACAGCTGGAAGAACTGAATTTCTTGTCCTTGGCCATGGTCAAGCATCAGGCTAGAAACTGGACGATGACTTGCCGGGGCCCTGTGGAAATCAGCCCCTGGTGAGCAGCTCCCCTTCTGGGAGTCCAGGCCTGTCTTTGGGGCCCAAACTTACCTAACGTTTAGGAAATTTTTCAAGGTCAGCACACCCCAAAATTTGGCTGTTGACTGTTGGACTTTCAGGTGATTACCCGTCCCCACATTGCACTGGGGCTTTGAGTGGACTGGAATTTAGACAGGCAGGAAATCGGAAGTCCTGCCCTTCTCCCCCCGCTGCCTGGTGTCCCGGCCATGCTGCTGGCCCTGCAACCCTGCGCTTGCCAGCCAGCTCCGACTGTGCCCTTGCCCCTTCATCTCTTGGTTTCTGCCCCCTCCCTAGTTTGAGCTCTCCAAAGCGCTTGGTTCTAGCCCCGGTTCTCATGTCTCTATAGATGGGGGCTCAGCCCAAGTCCCCACCTCTTTTACAAGTTAGCGTTAGCTTTTTCTCAGTGCTGTGCTTAGTCATTAACTGCAACTTTTCTACTAATGTCAGCTCTTCCGTGCAACCCTGGCAGGGCCTTCTTAGCAAAGGGCTTGTGTCCTGCCCTGTGCCCAGCCTGCTTCAGCAGGTTTCTCCAGCCTCTCCAAGGCCATCGAGACCTGCTTCCTCCTTGGCAGCGGTTTGCTGAGTTTCCTGGTCTCTTTAAACCAGGTAATAACGAAGACTCTCCCCTAGGTGGGGAGATGTTGGAGGTCCCCCATTTTGTGTATGGCCCAACTCTGAGCCTTTCGCTCTTGAGACGCGCCCTCTAGGGTAAATGGTCGCCCTTCTCAAACCTTCCGCACGAGTCTGCCACACGGTGTGTTGAAAAGCTTTGCTTCTCAAGCAGACTTTTACTCCACCTGTCCCTGAGCCCAGGGACGCACAGTGGGGAGCTGTGGTCTCAGAGACGCTGCTCCTTTGGGGTTCTCTCGGGTGAGGACAAAGCAGTGAGCACTGGCTTCCTCCTTTCCTGCACTTCCTCATGTGGGTCTCCAGGTCATTTCAGCCACAGAAAAGGTAGAATTGGCAGCCAGTCTCCGTGGGTCCTGAAATGAGTCCCTTGATTTGCTCATTCAGTTCCTTCGTGTGCCTTAGTGCCTGCTTGGCTTCCAGCTCTGTTCTTGTCCTTGAAGAGCCTGCCCGGGGGCAACCACATAAGTGTGGTAGTTAGAAGGTGGGGTGTGCTTTTCAACAGCCGTGCTTGACAGGCCCCTTAACGTCCCTTGCTCCTCTCTCCCGGCGTCTGAACCCCGGGCCGTACGCTAACATCATCAATCTCGGCAGCTGCCTCCTCCTTCCCCAAGTGTCCTTCCCCTGGTGGAAGCGCCAGAGAGCCTCTTCCCAGGTTCCCCAGAGGACTCAGCTGACGCCTCTCTGATCCTGCTGTTCAATTCCCAAGGGTCTTTCCCCTACCCAGCAGTTTGAACACCTGTCAATCTTTGGGGTGCAGTTCGAAGCCTCTGAAAGCATACTTTGAAAATTACACGATGTGATGTCTTCCCAGACACACTCCCTGATCCTGTTGGCTCATTCACTCACTTATTAAATGTTAGGTTCTTGCTTTGTGCCGGCTCCGAATGGGGGTTGGAGAGCCGAAGCTTGGTAGGAATAGCCTCGGCCCTTATATATTTATAGAATTTATAGTCTAGCATCAATGAATCTCTTTTTTAAGGGAGCTTAGTCAGGTGAGCCCAAGGAGTCCTGCCCTGGCCCCGAGCAGGCTCTCGTGCTGGCAGCCAGGCAGGAGAGTCCCCGTGCCGGTGATGCTCGAGGGGCGCCTGTGGGAAGCCCCAGGAGATCTGAATGGGTGTTAGGAGAGTTCTTGCCGATTCTCGCAGGGACCCAGATCGCCACAAGGAATCAGCGTGGGTCGCTTCCCACGTCTGTGGGCCTCGGGAGGTTCCTTCGGACGGTTCCCAGGACCAGTTTTGCACTTGGGCATACACAAGGAAACATTAGTTCACTGCACCCTAGGTAAACTTTCAAACAAACAGCAAAGAAAATAAGATCTGGAGAGCTGGCTTGGAGGCTGAGTTGTTGGCACTAACCTCTGTAGTAGGCAGCTCTAGGGAATTTTATTCATAAATTTGCCAGATATTGACTGGCCATTCCTGCTGTGACATGTTCCGATTCGCACTCCCGCCTTGTGAGACCAAGATGAGTCCGGTGCTGACTCCCGGGTCCTTGGAAGAGGACCGCGTCTGTTTGTCTGGTGACTCCAGCAGCTAAAACTTACCTGGCACATAGTAGGTGTTTTCTGAATGATTCTTGTTTCCAGGGAATCCTTAGGGTGCAGCTTAAGCTCTACTGATGCCACATTTTTGTAGCATTATTCTGGTGCTTAGCCAGCCTTTATAATATGGTGGGGCTTTTTAAAAAGTTTCTGCCTTTGAAAAAAGGTCACACCATTAATGAACCTGAATGTAATTGAATTTAGGGGACAGCGCATGGACTCTCCAGTACTTCAAATAACAGTTTCTTCTTTCTTCACCGGCAGTGTAGTTGACATTTTACCACAACTGTTACTTTCGTTTCACTTGACATCTTTATTCCCTTTCTTGGAATTTGTATTTCCATTGCCTTCGTGTTTGTGTTTCAGTTCTTCCTTCTAAGAGCTAGAGACCTGTGACTAATCAGAATCATTAAAATCACAATTTCAAATTATTAATGATTTTATTGCTCTCATAGAGAATCAGTGTTTTTGATACAGTTCCTACTCATAATTTTTAAGTATAGCAATTTTTAGCAACAGTTTTTATCAGGTAAAATATCTTGGGAAGCTTTGGATTCTTTTTTCTAAAAGAACTTGAATGCAAAACAGTTGTAAAAATTGTATTTTTCTTTTTCTAGGATTTACTTACAAGACATAAATTGCTCAGTGCAGAATTTTTGGAACAACATTATGATAGAGTAAGTATATGAAATACTGTTTTAAAATAGCAAATTGTGTGAGTTTTGTTATTGGAAATGAAAGATTTAAATTGGATCCTATACCAGAATATTTATTGTTCATAAGTAATGTGTTTAAATGTACTTTAATTCTCTACTGAAACACAGTCTAGACTGTTACTTGGTCAGAAACAAAAAGGTAGTCTTTTGCTTGGCGCATTGCCCTTCTCACCTTTTCTGGCTTTAGAAGGTGGGAATAAAGCTCCCAGCTCCCTGCTGCTGGCTAATAAGGTACAGAGAAGATGCGGGAGGATTCTCACGTGCTCAGGTTTTCCTCCACCCCTGCTGCTCACCAGGGAAGGAGGCGGTGCTGGTGGGAGGAGCGGAGCGAGCAGCCTTAGGCAGCAGCTCCAGCCCCTGCCCCCTGCTGCCTGTGTGCAGTCCTGCCTGCTGGCCTCTGGGCCTCACTGTAAATGGCAACACTGGACTAGGCCAGCGAGAGGTCCCTTCCAGGCTTCTGGAAACAAGTGCTTAGTCTCTCCACGCCTCCGGTGCCCTGCCTGAAGGTTGGTCCCTGGTCCTCCCAGTGGCCTGGGTTGCAGTCCCCCTGCACTGCCCTGCTCTCCACCGCCCAGTGCTCCTGTAACTCCCTCATTGTCCAAGGCCTGATAGATGCTCCTAGAGAAGCCATGTTAATAACAGCCCACTTAGAATCCCTAGATGTGGCTTAGGCAACTTCCACTACTAGTCACTTGACTTCTTGCAATCCTAGGTATTAATACTCTGTTGCTTACTTTGCTGTCAGACTAACTTGTAAGGTTCTTGGAGGTAAAGCCTGTGCTTCTAAATGTTCTGTCCTTGCTGCCTGAGTTTCTTGTCCATCCCCAATAACATCACCACGAAGTGCTGAGCGCACAGTCAGTCCTTCAGAAACAGCCTCATGTGACTTGAACATTGCTGGTCATTTATTTTTATTTCTGCCCTTGTGTGTTTGGGTACAGATGTGTTTCTGCATGTCTGTAGGTATAAAAGGTCAGCACTGTCTTGTCGGTGCCTTGTGATCAGAGTCAGAAGTGAGAGCTTTGGCCCAGGTGCCTGGAGTCTGGATTCAAGTCCCCCCGCCCTGGGCCACCAGGCCCTGGCCGCAGCTGTTCACCCGGTGCCTTCAGCCCTAAAGGAGCCTCGGGTGGCCCCAGCTGCCGTGCCACGTGCCAGACACGGCGCCCGCCCCCCCACCCCCCAGCAGCACCTCATACATGTCAGCTCTTAGATCCTATTGCTGTGTGGTCCCAGAGATTCCCCCCTACCCCAGCACACAAGTATCTTAATTTCAAGCTTGTCAGAGATACAAGCTCACTAATTTCCAAGACATTTACTACTGCAGTGACATATGTTTAATTTTGTAATTAAATATTTTTCCTTCCTGTTATTAATGGATGACGTCAGCAGGATTTAAAAAAAAATTATGTGAGGCATCTAACAAAAACATATACAGTCAGACAGTTGATGGAGGGGAGGTGTGGGTAATTTAAATTAAACGAGGGGTCAGGCTGTTACCCAAAAGCGTGCATTCTAAAATCTTAGCTGCTTTGGCTTGGAGCTTCCGAATAACCAAAGCATCAAGGGAAACACAAGCAGTGACGAGATCACAGTGTCTGTAAAGCGAAGCATTTGTGCCCGTCACTCAGAAGAAACGTTTTTTTCAGCGCTGGGAGCTGAAACGGATCTTCCCTTGGCATTCATAGAAGGGGGTGAAATGCAGTGTCAGGAATGTGATTCCTGGGAACAAACCTGAGGGCGCCTAGCAGCGCTTTGTTCCAGCCCAGGAATGAAAGCTGATGATGGAAGGCGTGCGCCGACCCTGTGGGCTTCAAGCGCTTCCCTGGAGAAGGGTTTCTAGCCACCAAGCTTAGCCTGAAAAGGAGCTTGAAGAAGAAATTCAGCAGAAAGGCTAATTTGCACTGTCAAGAATTGAAGTTTACATAGTCTCTTCTGACTCAAGGTGGATCTCATTGAAATCTGTCCATTGCAAGGCATCTCATTGTTTTGATCGTCATCTTAAGGCCAAGGTAGGCTTAAGGCCTTGTCCAAGAAGAGCAAAGTCTAACTTTTTTCACACTCGGTAGACAGCTTCTGCCTCTGCGGAGGTGAGCATAAGAAGTAATGTGCAGGCAGTTGCCACCAGAAAACCTCTCCTCCAGGGCCTCCCCTGTGCCACACTGGGTTGAGCGCAGCGCTATGAAGCTGTCTGCAGCCTCTGCAGCACGGGTTCGATTCCCTGCCGGCCAGGGAGCTACCCACATGGCGGGGCAGACCTCTCCTGTCTCTCCCGCTTCTCCCCTCAGCAGTGTCTTCGGTCCATCTGCCTGTTCTGCTCCCCACTCTGTCTCTGGTGAATCCTCTCACCCTCCCGCGCCTCTGGCCTGTACCCCACTTCTTATATAAATAAAAATAAATTTTTTTTAAAAAAAAAAAAAGAAAGAAAAAAGAAAAAGCCTCTCCTCCCAGGGACCAGACAGGGATCCAGGACCCAAGACCCACAGCCCTGCTGTCTGTTGTACTGTGGAAGCAGCGGGAAATGATGCACCAATGAATTTCTTTGCAGTACACGAGTGAGCAAAGAAACAAAACTCTAAATCTATATGTCTGCAGGCTAACTGGTCTCCTGCCCTCATGCTTTGAACGTGTAGCCCTGGCCCCTGTACGTCCCTCCTCCCTGCCTCAATCTGCTGCTTATCCTCACCGGTGAGGACACGGCTCCTGTCAGGGACGCCATGTGTAACTCTAGTGGACACTTGTCACCTCTCAATCTGCAAGCACTTGCATTCGCCAGGCCTGCGCCCATACTGTGCTCCTCCCTTTCTCTCCCCGCCAAAAATATTTTCCCTGTTTTTAAAAGAAATGACCCAAGTTTGAGCCCCGGCCCTGTATTCTCTAGGGCACCGGCCTGTCCGGCGCAGGCCTGCGTATCCTCTCCTGTGCTTAGTCATGTTCTCTTCTTGCTTGGGACATTGAGAGAACAGGTAACTTTTATCTTTGAACCAGCAGAGTTGTGAAAATTAGTAATTTTCTAATCTTAGCACCAAGAAATGAGAGCTGACCCAGCAGTGGGGGGAAGTTGTGGCTCCTGCACAGGGAGCTTGCAGTGACAGAACAGGAGCGAAGTGGAGCTCCACACGGGCTTGAATGAAGCTGGAAGGGGGTGGGTCCCAGGAGCCCTCCTCACAGATGGCACCAGTAGGTGCCCCCCAGGGCTCTCGGACCCAGTCAGGAAGGCCGTGACACAGCGGCACTGACAAGCAGGCCCTGCCTTTGCGGTGTGAGAACTTGTGCTCAAGCTTTATCAACAGTGTCTGCCGACTTTTAAAAAGAAATCACGCTGATACATGCTTTCTTGTCTTTTAGTTCTTCAGTGAATATGAGAAGTTACTTCATTCAGAAAACTACGTGACAAAAAGACAGTCCCTCAAGGTACATGGATTGTTTATCTTGTGTAGTTTATTTCTCTTTGCCCTGTTTTTTATTTGGGGAAAGGGAGATGTGCTGGTCTGTGTCTCAGACTTGGGGGTGCGGGGTGCCTTCGTCACGGTCAGGGTTTATATGGGGAGGGCTGGGAAGTGGCCGGTGCACGGTGCCTGCCCCCTTCTTCTGAGTCAGGAATGCACAGAATTTTGAAGAGGACTTTATCTCTTGGCAATGCAGAGTTTTAGATTTTGAAGTTTATTTTTAAAACCCAGGGTCATATCCACTAGATGCAGGCGCTGTGGGTGGTGTCTCCCCAGTGCTGCCCGGCAGGCACAGGCTTAGGGGGCTGCCCCAAAAACAGGATGTGACCGATTCCATTTCAAACTTAAATTGATCCATTTAAGAGTCTATCATGGGTTGGCAAACTACAGCCCATGGCGAAAACCAGCTCACTGTCTAGTTTTGTAAATAAAGTTTTATTGGCACGTGGACCCCTGCGTGGATGGTGTCTGGCTGTGCCTGTCTGGTAAGACCGGCCCTCTCACCTTTGGGTGGTCTGTGCCTCGGGCAGCTGTGGATGGAATGTTCACTCCGCTTTACTGCTGATTGCTTGTCTCCAAAAGCATGTGAGTCACTGGAGGTCCCAGGGGCCATCTCCCCCTGTGATCCTCAAAGTGAGGCTTCCTCTGCCAGGGACCTCGGGGTGTCTGATGGCCAGAGGAGCGCTCCTCCCGCATGGCAGCCAGGCATGAGCAGCTGGTGACACCATTGTCTCCCCAGGCCAAGGAGGCCAGACGGGCTTGCTGTGGGTGGTAGCTTCTGGAGGGAAGCCTCTTCGTGGGAGGAAGGGAGATTTTTTTCTTGCAAATCAGTAAACTGTGACCAAAATCTGGATTCTTGGGCTGCGTAGATACAGAGCAAGGCTTTCACGACCTTCCTGCTCCTTCAGAAGCACCAGCATGAAAAGGCAGGTGGACCTGCCATGTCACCATCCCTGCCATGCCGAGGCAGGGCTCCCCTCGGAGCTCCCGCAGTTCGTGATGCCCCCTGAACACTCGGAGCAGTTTGAGCACTAGGGATCCTTTAATTGGGTTTTAATTTGTACTTCCCTTTTCTGTGCTCACACTGCCGCTGGGCCCTGCATTTATGTCACTGGCATTTGCGTTCCCCGGGCAGTTTTTATTTTTATGTTCAAAGACATTTAAAGACTCACAGTCATCCTTAGAGCGCTGTGCTGAAATGAGCTCTTTTTAGTTTTTCTTTGGTTTTTGTGATGGAAAATGAACCGCCAGAAAGCGACAGGCCTTCCCGGCCCTTACGCACGTCTGCAGGAGAGGACGTGCTCGTCGAGGCTCACCCTGAACTGGGGAGTCTGTGGTTCAGACGGATGGGCTTTTGGAGTCCTGTCAAGTCTTTACAAATTCTAATAAACCCCAAATCCTGAGAATAGGTTTGTTTTCCTCCAAGTCACGTTATTCTTGACTAACATGACGACGTGTCTCATCTGGAGACTCGAGGACTTGGAACCAGCAGGGAGCAGCAGAGGCAGCGAGCTTAGCCCTCTCCTTCTGCTCTCGTGTCCCCCCCACCGCCACCCCCCCGCAGCCTCAGCCTAACATCTTTGCCTGTGTTCACGTTTCTCTCTCGCTCCATGCCCATGAGGGGTATGCAGGTCCTCTTAGCCACTCCCATTACAAGGCGATGAAACTGGGGCGCAGGGACAGCAGGAACGGGCTGCAGGTCACCCAGCTCACAAGGAGCGAGCAGAGAGCCAGGGTGCAAGCCCCAGGCAGGCCAGTGCCGGGCCAGCTCCCCACTGCAGGCCACTCCACCTGCACGCTTGGCTGACTAGATGTCAGCATCGTGACAGCACAAAGCTGTGACTCCGGTTTCAGGAAGAGCTGAACTTAGAACCAACAACAGCAGTTTTTAAGTTTCGGGCTGGTTGGGTGTCATCGACTATGGAACTCCGCTCCCCGGGAGGCACAGGTTTGCTGGATATTGTTTTAGCTTTATCGATGGCATTAGTGACGGTGAGGGGGTCCCTGAGAAAAACTGAGAGGACCTTCATGATACTTTGATTAAGGAGGAACAGAAAAGTCTTCATTTTTATTAATCTTTCTGAATCAGCTAAGATAAAATAACTTCGGCCTCTGCAGACGTGAGTGTATGGGAAACGCTGGACCTAAATAAAACACTTGTCCTGTGACGTTCGGACAAGTAAAATTATTTTTTAAGTAAGTCAAGGTTTGCGGTTCGTTAACAGGAGTTACCAGGGACTCACCTTCCGCACACGGGCTTTGGCGGGCTGTCTAGTGAGTGCAGATGCGCCTGAGCGAACAGGCCCTGGCCGCCTCATCCCGCCTCCCCCCCACCCTGTGCCCCATGTCGCACGCCCTGCAGGGTTAAACCCCCAAGACGAGGCTGGTGTCCCGGCGTCCACAGCGCCTGCCCGTGTGATGAGTATGTGTGAATTGCTTCTTAGCCTTCGATTTTTCTTAAAATCCTAATGATGATGTAAGCGTCGTCGTTTCATTGTCTCCTCAGCTTCTTGGCGAACTGCTATTAGACAGACACAACTTCACAATTATGACTAAATACATCAGTAAACCCGAGAACCTCAAGTTGATGATGAACCTTCTACGGGACAAAAGTCGTAACATCCAGTTTGAGGCCTTTCACGTGTTCAAGGTAGAGTCCCCGCCCCGGGCCCGCCCTCCACGCACTGCCCCGCGCCTGCCTCAGATCCCTGACGTGTGGGCCTCATGCTGGTTACCTGAGTCACCAGCCGGAGGCTCTGGGCACCAGGGCCCCCCTCCCCGGTTCACACAGAGCGAAAGGGGATCCGTCCTTGCGCTGCCCGTGGAGGTTTTTATTCTAAAATCAGTCTGTATTTCTACCAGCCACTGGGAGTGTCGGCTCTCTTTGTGCTAAAACATGCCATTTTTTGCCAAATTGTAAAATAGGTCTCGTAAAGCAGAGCCTCTGAGCTGCTGACCCCCTCGCACTGGTCCGCGTGCCCCCGGGCTGTGGGCCGAGGAGTGCAGATGTCCCTTTGTGTCCTGTTCTTTCCCTGGACTGACGGTGCTCTCTCCCCACGCAGGTGTTTGTAGCCAACCCCAACAAGACGCAGCCCATCCTGGACATCCTCCTCAAGAACCAGGCCAAGCTCATAGAGTTTCTCAGCAAGTTCCAGAATGACAGGACCGAGGACGAACAGTTTAACGATGAGAAGACCTATTTAGTTAAACAGATCAGGGATTTGAAGAGACCAGCTCAGCAAGAAGCCTAATTTCCAATAAACACCTAAAATATTAAATCCAAATTCAGCATTTGCTGTTAGCTATTCCGCATCAGCACTCTTACGATTCATGAGGAACATTACTGCTAATCTGCTGTTAAGTGAACGGTTTTTCCTTTTACCTATTTTGTTTCTTAGTCCGAGTTGGAGAACGTAGCTGCTGCTTCCTTGCACACTAGAGCACACGTGGACTTTTCTTGATCTTTGTGTCATTTCAGAAATCCAAGACTCCATTGCTGTGGGAGTTCGGAAGGCGGCTGGTTCCCGAAGGCAAAGGTCTGGGTGGTGGTGGGGCGAGGGGAGGGGGCGCCGGCCTCTCCCGCCTAAAGATCTGAGCGTGGCTTCCTGGCCAGGTCGCCCACTTCGCAGAGCAAGACTAGGGGGGGCTCTAGTGGAAATCAGAGGGGAACTGTGTCAAAGATGAGAGCTTTGGGCAGGTAAAGTTGACATAAGAATAAATGATGTTGAGACTTAGCAACTTCTCGAAAGTAGGATGCTTCACAAGGTCATAGAGGAAATGTATATATGCTTTTCACGGCTTTCTAGAATTTTTTGACTTTTGATTTTCTTGAGACTTGTAAACCTGGATATGTTGAAGGGTATTTGTTAATTTTACTTTTTGAAGGTCTTTTAAAAGAGTAGCTCTAGGAATGACACCTTGCATTTCATTTCAACAATGCTTACAGGTTTCTTTTGTACATAATTCTTAGAATGCTCATTTCTTTTAAATGATTTAATTTGTACAGCAGAGGAATGTTATTGTATTGTAACTATTACCTAATATTGAGTTTTTGCAAAAAATGAATGCTCATATGTAATTGAAATACTTCAGATCACATGAAAATGCTGATTGAACATTTAAGTACCACAGCATTAAAAGAAAAAAGTAAACCAATCTTTGTATCCAGTTACCGAGTAGGGTGCCACCCGGGCGATCAGGCAGACCAGGCTCTGTCAGCTGTACTCTCCTGCGTGACGTCGACCTTACGTCCTATGAGTCACGGGTTCGCCAGATCTATGAATGATACAGATTATGCTGAGTTAATGCTGATTCGGGGCGGGGGGTGGGGGTACCTGTGTAGAGCACCTTTTCTTTCTTAGAGTAAGTAATCCCGTACCGTAGTCGTGGCCATGACTAGCTGAGACTTGGCTTCTCTGAGGGGAGGAGTCCTTCGCAGTCTGAGGTGTCCTCTGGGGAAATGTATTTTTTTTAATGTCCTGTTCCTTAATGCTGCAAATTATCAGTATTTATAAAGTAACTGATTTGGCACCTCTTTTTTTGTTACTGGGCCCACGGCTGAACAGCGTCTTCTAGAATACGTCCATGTGAAGTTATTAGAATGGCCTCTGTTCATCGTAGTGATACAAAGATCACAACTAACAACTTACAAATCAGAGTTTGCCAGTTCGAATTCAGCATGGCTGCAGCTGATTAAGAAATTTATAGAATTATTCTTTGCTAGCCTCTCTTACTAATTGAATTATTTATCAGCCAGTAAACGAAACCCCCCAAAGGGTGTTGCAGCAGGTTTCAAAACCTCCTAGGAACACCCGTTAGGAAAACTAGCACCAGAAAATATAGATATATTTTATTCTATTTAATTAAAATGGCAGCCTGCATCACAGTGGTTTTCCTGAGACTGCCTCTACCAAAATCGGTGTCAAATAATACATGTTTTTCTATTGGAAACTGGGAGTGCCACCTAAGTACCACCTGTGTGAGGAGGCCGGCCCGCCCCTCGGGGTGCGGGGTCGGGGTCGGGTGTCTGCGTGGCTGGGCGTCTGGGCTTAATGTCAAAATGCAGCCACACCAGGGGAGGCCAGTCTCCTCCACAAGCTGGTTCTTAGAACTTGAAACCAGAAAGCACCTCCCTGGGTGGAGCCACAGCCCCCTGGCATGTGGCTCCTGTTTTCTTGGTTTTTTGTTCTTGTTCATTTGTTTTAAACAAAAATGTGATTGAGAGTTGACAGTTGCATCTGAGGTTATGATCATTTAATATATATTACCAAAACTGTTGTACTAGACGTGGTTTCTCTTTGTGTTATAAAGGTTTAATTTTACATAAGTCAGTTACTGGATGTGATTTTTAACCCTTAAGCAGGTGGAGATGTATACAATTGTTAACAATGCCATAAAAGCATTTCCTTTCTCCTAAGGAAAAGTTAATTTCTTATCAGAATATCTGGCTGGCCCTGTAATTTAAATTAAAATAAAATTTTGGAGAAATAGCTTCGTCCTTCCTCGTGGTGTCTTGCATGTGTCACTCCCAGCCCGGGGGAGACCCACCCCCTGTCCCCGGGACAGTGAACACTCTCAAGGTTTTCTTTCTGGTATCAAACGTGTGGTTTTCACTTACAGAGCTCACGGCTGCCTTTCCCACGTGTAATCGATTTCCCTTCTCGCAGCATCAGTGCTTAGACCCCACGGAGGGAGCAGGCCCTGTCCGGGGAGGGCACCTGGCAGGCATGTTTATGAATTACTGGAGCTGAGTGGATGTTCGTGTGAGGCGGCACCTGCAGGAGTCGTCTCCCTGCTGCCTGGCCACACGCGCACAACCCCACCCTCCATTTCTATTGTGACCCTTGGGGCGGGGGCATTCTCCACTCGGGGGGGAAGAACCACTCCGCCAAATAGTATCACTTGTGTGTCCTGGTTTCATCACTTGTGTGTCCTGGTTCTCAAATGGGTTCCCGGAGATCAGAACTCTTCATCCTGAGGGTGAACACCACTCATCACTGATTCTACTTCCTTCCACCCCCCAAAATAGCCGAAACTTTGAATCTCCAGCCTCTGAGGGCTATTAGGGAGCTCTTACCCTGCCCATCCATTTACAAGGCCTCTATAGAGATGGCTCTGGCAGCTCTTTGAGGGCCGCAGCGCTCATAGCCTGGTACATTCTGGAGGCCAGAGCCATCCCCCATCGTCCTACAGGTTAAGAGCATCCTGCAGGAAAAGCTGCCAAAGACCCACCAGCGGAACCCCCCCCGCCCCCCCCCCTGCGGTTCCGGGCCTTGTTCCCCAGCCATTCTAGTCCCTCCCACCCGTCCAGGTACCCCCTCTGGCCATCGGGTGCCCAGAGGCCTGGAGCGCAGGCCAAGACTCCCCACTACCGCTCAGTCTTCTGCCAGCCTCCCCAAAGCCAGCCCACCCAGGCCTCCCTCCAGCAGAGCCGATACCTCCAGCTCCAGGGGACGGGGCCACACGTGCCTGGACCCCCGGTCTGGGTTTCTGCCAGCGGCTGTGTCCTCTGCGCTTTGTGAGTTGCAGTTCTTAGCACTTCGGGAAGACAGATGCAGATGTGAGGGAAAGACTGATGTTTGCAGCATTCTATACGGGTGGGCACGTTTACAGATGAGTTTCAGCTCTCAGGGCCGGCTCCTGGGTCTCCCGCCCACCCCTAAGCGCTCGGGGCTCTGTGGGCAGGACACGGGCTGCTCCTGTTCCCACTGGCCGGTTCTTCCTTTACATGGAGATTGGTCGCAGGCGCAGTGGGCAGAGGCCCGGGGCTGGCCCGGGGAAGCTTCCAGCTGCTGCTCCTCTGCGGGTCCGGCTCCACCCTCCGGAGACAGCCCCTCTTCTAGCCCTGCAGCGCCTCAAGGCCCAAATCTGTGTCCTGCTGCCTTAGGCCTTGCTCCTTTGGGGTGAGGGGGGTGGGATCAGGCTCGGTGCCAACCCCCACCACACTGAGAGGACCTAGTAGTGCCCCCAACCCCGCACCCTCTTAATGTCCCTGCGTTAATGTCCCCCCAGTTACTGTCCCCGCGTCTCAGTGGGTGCCTCTCAGCAGAACTGTGCCCCCAAGTCACTGTGTTAGTAGTTAATATGGGATCCTGCCCTCCCCCCAAAATGATGAGCATTTGACCCCTCGCCCAGGGCCTGGTTCTGGGGTAACCCAGAGCAAGATGAGTCCATTTGGGCCCTGGCAGCCCAGACGGAGGAGCCGCCCCTCGGGAGGCCCCCGCCGGGCCCGCAGCCTCCAGCGGCCCCGCAGTTCGGGGAGCAGCCGCGGGGGGGGGGGGCAGCAGAGCTCTGGCCGCCGCGGGCCCCGGCGCAGGTTCGCGACCCGCCGCCCCGGCCCCAGCGCTGCCGGCGGCCGCAGAACCGGGCGGAGCCGGGCCGGGAGGGCGCGCGCGGCTCGGTGTCTTAAAGCAACTTTCCAGCATCGCTTCCAGCTCTCCGATCTGCAGGAAAACACCGCGCAAGCCCAGGCCGCCCGGGGCCGACGCCCGGCGACTCGGAAGAGCCGGCCCCCCGCGCCCCGGGAATGCCCCGCGGGGCGCAGCGTCTCCGCGCCCGGCCCCGCCCGCGCTCGCCCCGCGGCCCGGAGCCCACGGGCTGGGCGGGGCCCGGCCTCCGGCTTGGGGTGACAGCTGCAGGAGCTCGGGCGCCCGCCGCCCCCTCGCCGGGGCTGTGTCTGCCTCGCCGTGAGGCTGAGGTTCTGGGTGTGGGGCGGGGGACCCCGCAGACGCGGGCCCGGGGCGCCCGGGGGGGGGGCCGGTCCCCCAGTCCCCGGGGAGCCCCTGCTCCGGCCCGCGCCGGCTGCGGTTTCTCCTCGGAGCTGCTCGTTCCTCTTCTCCCCGGCTCTGCGCTCGCGGGGCGCGGCCTGGGCCGCGGGGGGCTGCGCGGGGTTCTGCAGGGAGCCGTGTCGCTTTTCCCCGTCGCGTCCCTGCCCCCTGGAAACTTCCCATTTTCTGTGCCCTTGAAGTGTTTCCTAACAAAATGGTGGGAACAAAATAAGTGATCCCCAAAAATGGGTGGGTGGGGGCGGACAGACAGACGCCCCAGGAGCTGTAGGATACAGGCAATCGGCCACCCAGCGCGGGTTTGGGGTGTGAGGGGCTGATGGGGACCCAGCGCCTGCTCCCGGAGCGTTGCTTTCCTCCGCGCGCCGCTGGGGTGGGGGAGCAGGAGCACCCCAGAGGCGCTGGGTCCTCATGAGGGCCCCCCAAGCTCAGGGCCCCGGTTCCTCAAGCCAACAGCTCGGGAATCATCTCTTCCCTCATCTCTCGCCTCTCCCCACCCCCACCCGCACCCCGACCCTGGGCACGGACCCCCTGCACCTGCCTCCAAACCCTGGAGTCTGCAGGCGGCCTGGGGATGTCGGGAACAGGCCTGACCTCGGCATCCCAGGAAAACCCTTTTCCCATTTTGGAAAACAAGTTCCCTGGGGTGCTGATGCAAGAGACCAGGTAGTGGTTGGATTTAAAAGTTGCGGCACCTGGTAGGTAATTTCTTTCCAACCTTCTTACTCATCACACAATCCCTCAGTCTCCCTCGGTGCCCCTGCCGGCGGGACCCCAAGCTCTCGGGGTTCCCGGTCACTGCCCGCCAGCCCCGTGGTGAGTGGCCGAGGGGCGATCAGCGCTGGACAGGGGTGACCTTCCTCAACCCTCGCGTCCTCTGTTAGCCTGGGTGTGCCGCGGGGAGACAAGCAGGGAGGGCGAGGCTCCCCAAGGCCGCACAGCAGGAGGCAGCGCAGAAGCGGGGCTCGGGGCCCACCGGCTCCCACCAGCTGCGTGTGTGAACCTCAGCAGTGGGGGCTGCTCGGCCCCTCCTCGCAGGGTGGAACCCGGAGGGCGCCCCGGCCTCCCCTGGGCGTCCCGTAAAGCGCTGACGGGCCTGCGGGCCGGGCCGGCTGAGCGCCGCCTTCCTGACAAGCTCCCCGAGGGGCGGCGGCCTGGAGACCGCTCTGGAGGGGCCCTCGGGGGTCGGTGACATCAGCTGCCGGCGTGAGAGCCCCCGAAGATCCTCCCGCTCCTGAGCAGGTACAGAAACAGCCGAGGCGGCGCTGGCCTGCGGCGCGCGAGTGGGAGCAGCACCCGCGAGTGTCGGGGTGTCCGGGATGAGGGTGGCTGTGGGTGGGGCGCAGCTGGGGTGCCAGGCTGGGCGAGCTCAGAGGGCCTCTCCACGGCCACGGCCAGCGGAGAGGCCAGGACTGGGCTGCGGTGGGGGCCGGCTAAGGGGCGCAGAGGGCCGAGAAGGCCTGGGCCCGGCCCTCAGAGGTGGCAGCCTGAGGTGCTGAGCCGTCCAGAAGAGAGCGGAGGGCCGAGCGGGGCTCCCCATGTCTTGTCCATCCCTCCCTGGGGTGCCGTAGTTTATTAGTTTACGCGTCTGTCCCCCTTAGTCCATGTGCTTCTCAAGACAGGGAGCCAAGCTCTGTGCTCAGCCCGGTCTCGAGGGCACCTGCACAGTTTGGGACTCTCCATGCCGCCCACCCCCATCTCCCTTCCCGCAGGGCAGCATTGCCAGAAAGTTTATGCAATTCCACAGAATTCCAGCAGGTGGCAGGAGCATCCCGGGGCGCCCTCAGGACTGCCCGCCTGGGGTGAGTGAATGAGCCTCCGAGCCCAGGGGTCTGACTCCAGCAGGAGGGAGGCGGCCCTGGGTGCTGAGCCGGGACTCTGAGATTGCAGGAGATTTGCAGGGCCTGGCGCAGCGTGACGCAGCCCTCCCCCCAGCCGCCCCTAGTACTACCCTAACTCTGGCAGGCAGGATAGCTGGGCGTCCACCCCACAAGCGGGCCTGGAGAGTGCCACCTTGTGCCCTGTGGCAGCTCCGGGGGGCTGGGCACACGGGCGGATGTTTTTTGGGGTGATTGAATCTGGGGTGGATTGAATTTGCCCTTGTGAAGTGCTTGGTCCCCACTCAGTCACTAACAGCTGGCCAGCAGTAACCAGGCACCCTGAAAGCGTGGGGCCCTGTTGGCTGGGGCTCTAAGGAAGACTTAGCGGGATTTTGTTAGATGAATAATGTTAGGGGGCCTGACCCGGTGGCAGCCATTTCTGTGTCCTCAGGAAGGTAACAAAAAGGAAAACAAACACACAAAATTAAAATGACATGTTTCTAGGAAGCTAGAAAAAGTGCCGGACATGGGAAGACTTGATGAGCCTGCTTGATGACCATGCTTGAGGCAGAAACATGGACCTGGTCTTCCTGGATTCCTCATGGGCTGGGAGGGCGCAGCACAGGGAACCCCACGGCTGAGGGGGGTGTACAGGAGGCACATCTGTGAGAGCAGAATGCTGGCTGAAGGTGGTGTCCCAGGTAGGGTGTGAACGTCTGGGCTCCTGTTCCCACCCAGTTCACCGTGACTCATAGCTCCTTGGCCAGACCCTTGAGTGAGTCTGCTAGAAGCAGAATGGGGAGTAGGGGGACAGATCCTTACAGAGGTTCTCTTTGATCTGCCCACCCCGGAGACCTTAACTCTTCTGGCCCATGAGCACAGAAGCTAATGGCCC